CTCCTACGCCTGCGCTGTGTAGCTGTGTGTTTTTGCTGTATTTCTGTATTTCCGAGAGCGTTTCCACATTAATTTTATTGACATTTGGCAACAAGTTGGGGCCGAGATGGCTCTAATGGAAACCAGTTTGCTGCCAGCTGTTCTGCCACTGAAAAGACGGATGAGTTAGTCATGGCCCATGGTTGGGTCGCGACTGGCGCATCTTGATTTTGGAATGAGATTTGATCGTAGAGTTGAATGATTTGCATGGGAACTGGCGCTTGGCCAACAAGTGCCGACAGAGCAGAAATTTCAATCGCCGCATTAATGCCTCCGTTTGCTTGCCCTTTTCCAGTTGCTCCCATTAACGAGCCAGCCACGACACAGCAACAGCAACAGCAACAGACACTGCCGCAGCAGCAGCAGCAATCCCAGAAGAAGATCAGCAACAGCATTGCCAACGCCACCAGCCACATGACCACAACGAATTCGAGCAACTCCAGCAGCAGCACCACGACGGTGAGCAGCAGCCAGCAGCGGGAACAGGTGCGGGAGCAGACCACCAACTCGACCACATCGAAGGTGTACATCAAGAAGACGGGCAGCAGCTCACAGAGTAGCAGCTCCTCGGGCCGCAAGGAGAGCTTCGGGTCGCGCGACTCCCTCAACGACATACTCAGCGAGACGGGGCTGCCCAGCGGCAATGTGGCCGCCCAGCGCAAGTCCCTGGAGACCAAGAACCTGGACCTGACCAAGCAGCCGGGCCAGCAGAAGAGCGCAGCCACAACGGCGGCACTCAGCAAGAGCATGGAGAGCCTCGATGAGAAGGTCAAGTCGCCGCCACCGCCAGTGTTGAGCAAGAAGCCCAGTGTGCCACTTAAGAAGACGCCCACAGGTGGAGTGCCCGTGACAGGTGAGTTAAGCCCTTGCTCTATAAAGGAACCCATTCTAACCTCTCTGTTTCCTTTAATAGGCAACATCTTGGGCGGCAAAAAGAAGAGCAACCCAGAGGGAAAACTGACCAGCGCGGTGTCCCACGATCTGGCTGATGGTCTGGCAGCCAGCAAATTGATTGCCGGACATCTGCCCGAGCAGGGAGTCGCTGGCAATCTGGTGATCCGTCGAGCGGCCACCATAGCCGGAGAGGATGTGGAATTCGACCTCGTGGAGCGTGCCTCCATGCTGCCCGATATGAGGGCAGGGCGCGTGAAAGCGCCAAAGCGGAGACCACCTTCGGCAGCCATCAATGTGCTGGGGGAGAGCAACAACAATTCGGTGTACGTGAACGGCAGCGGGATGGCCGGCACAGGCGGCAGTGCCAGTGAGCTGAGCGAGGATGGCGGCAGGCACGCGGCCTCCTCCGACGACAATTCCACGGGCGAGGAGCAGCTGGCCAAACCGAAGCCACGCGAATGGGAGAAGAAGAAAGCACCCTGGATGGAGGAGCTGAAGGCGTCCCAGGTAACCCGCAAGAAGACCTCCCCGAGCGTCGAACCCCGCGGTGCCTCAGTGGCCGAGCGGACCTCCAAGCTGTTTGCCGCCGAGCAGGTGGCAGCCACCGCTAGTGTGGTCTCCAGCAGTGCCACAAGTAGCAGCAGCAACGGCAGTCAGCAGAGCAGCAGCACCACAACGAAAGTGCAGTCTTCGGCGGTGACGTCGTCCAGCATACTGCAGCAGTCGATGATCGTGGAGAGCAGCAGCCGGAAAGAGTCATCGGCGATCACCAGCAGCAGCATCAGCTCTGTGGCCACCAGCACCGATGCAGCCATGTCTCGCAGCCTTTCGGCGGCCAAGGCGGCGGCCAGCGATGAGGAGACTCGAGCGCCACGCCCCAACAGTCTCTCCATACGGAATCGAAGCGTCTCGCCGCTGGTCAAGACCTCCAATGCCACGCAGGTGCAGTCGCAGACGCAGGAGGAAAAGACAGCCACCAGCAGCAGCAGCAGCAGCACTGTTCAGCAGATCAACGCGAGTCCAGCCCCCGCCCAGCAGCTCAGAACTCACCAAGAGTCAGCGTCAGCTTCAGCGACGGCGCCACGCGTGGCACAGCTCGAGCAGCGGGTGGACAAGCTGGAGGCCATGGTGCAGACACAGCAGCGGACTATCGAGGAGTTGGTGCGGTCGCTGCGAGAGGAGACGGACCGCGTGAAGCTACTAAGGAGCGAGCTGGACAAATACGCCCAGTGCGTGACGCAAGTTTGAGCCTGTGTTTGAGCCGAACGTTAATTGTTGTGTTAGCTGCTCGTTTTAGCCCCCGCCCAAGCCCCCACAGACCCCGTATGAGATTTCAGTAGTTAAAATCGCATTTTAGCTAGCTTTAATCGTATGATTTTTGTATCTATCTATCTGTCGTGCTGTCGGCTAGACGTTTTAGAACCTCTACATTCCAAGTGCGTAGAACGTAGTAGAACGAACCCAAGACAATCCCAAATATCGTATAAAAACTCTTGTACTCTGTACTTATACCATGGTCCCATGGAAATGCCACAGAAAAATGTCACCATCCACCATCCTGTAAGCGCCCCACACACTCTTCCATCGATCCAAGCCATTTTGTGTTGATTTGTGCATGCGAAGATACCGATACCATATCCCATGTATATCTGATAATTTCGATAAGTATTTTTTATATACAATACATTCGTAATCCCAGAGGAACGAAAGGAGAAGGAGAAGCCGAAAGGTGCTGGTGCTGGTGGGCACTGTGTGATTTCTTTTATCTGGAGCTGCTTTCAATTGCAATTTGTTTTGTTTATACGATTTATGATTATTTTATGATGTATTAAAGTTATGAGTAAACCCACTGTACTATAAACTATACTAAAAAAGAAAACTAGAGCGAGAGGAGGTGAGATGGTAGTGATCGCAGACAGGAGCGCATATATCTAAGTGGAGATGATGCCTACAACTTAAGCAATACCAATAAATAATGCAAATAAATATTATACATGTTTTCTGAATGTTCTGTTCTTATAATTTATAATAGCTTCCCCCCGTTATAGATGTCATGTTAGAGAATCCACATATCTATCTTACTTATATCTAACTCTGTGTCTCTCTCTCCCTGTAATTTTTCTTAGCAAGCAATCGCGTCGCGGGAAGTTCGACAATTGGATGTTCTAGTTGATCGGAAGAGCAGCGGCAGCAGCTAGACTATATGTTTTCCTTTTTTTTGTGATAAGCCTATCCACTCTCTGAGTATACCATTCAGCAATCTTTAGTATAAACAAATCAATATCTTGGTATCGAGCCAATCCCCCCGATCACCCATTTGTTAGCAAATATATGTATGTCGCATTTTGTATCGCTTCTACTGTAAATATTAATGTACATTGAATATGGCTTATAAAATAAACATTTAATTAGTAATTTTACTTTTAATTTGAATAATTTGAACTCATACATTTTTAACAGGGACGAATTTATGGATGGGCTTGCAAGACGGGCGAGAGCTAAGTAGTTCTAAAAACAGAAGCTACTCGAGTCTTTTTATATATTTATGTATATATATAGATTTATAAACTCCCTCAGGGATTCGAAGATTGCGCCAGGGTTCGTCAATGCGTAGTAGTGTCCAGAACATTGCCTTGAAGATCTTAAGATTTACTTCCTATTACATTCCATTCCCGCCATGTATTTTGAAATTCTATATCGAAAATAAATACTTTTAATACTTTTTCCGTTTTCAACTTTCAACCAATGAAAAACCTCGATTTGTCGGTTGTTGTATCCGCTAACACACATATTGCACTGTCATTAATCTCATATAAATTCTGCAGGCGCGTATTTCAAGAGGTAACTAGTTTAACTAGTAACTAAGTATAGGGCAGGTTTGCTTGTAAATTTTCACTGTACTAAAGTTTAGCATCTAAAGCAACGCATTAAACTCCCAGAGCCAAACGCATTTAGGAACTGGCGCATTTGAAGGTTCGAATATCTGCTAAGTAAAGCTTTGACTCTTGGTTTCGGTATCTGCTAACACACACTCAGTGGCTCAGAGACACAAAGATCTGGTCAAAACGTCGAGCGGAGACGGGTGTTGCCAAGATTTGGCTTTGGTCAAAAGGCAAGTGGACCTCAAGCTTGGCTTTGGCCCAACAATATGTGCGAATCTGCATGAACACGAAGCGTACACGAACTCAAAGAGAACCAACCGCTTTTTGGCCTAAAGTTTGAAGTTTTTGTGGGCCATTCTGTTGGCTTTTACTGTTGCCGTACGGGACGGGTCTACGTTCTGTGCTGTGAGTGTTTTCGGAATCGAAGTTGAGCTTTTCTTGGCTCTGGCTTCTTGGGCGCTGCTGCGGCTGGCCAGCAACCAGCACCAGCACCACCACTTATCAGCCCCTGATCGCTGTGGGAATTCAGTTAATTGTGGACGCTGTAGCCAAACGGACGCAAGAGCACGCGGCGCACGAAACGTTCCCATTTCCACACACACAGCTTTCGACTTTGTTTCGCTGCTCGTGAAAGTAATTGGCCAAGTCACTGGGCCTGGCCCAAACAAACCCAAACACCCACAACTCCTCCATCTTCTTCTGTAGCGACAGTTTCAGTTTCGGAGTCGACAAACGAGCCGCCAATTGCACAGCTGAAAACTTATTTAAGGACCGTTCCAAAAAGCACACCCTAAAATCCCCCACCAAAAGGATCGAGGAGAAGGCTGAAGTAATACAAAAAGTAGAAGAGATTTTTTTCGACCAAGTCAGTTAAATAACAAGTTTTCAGAGTGTGTGTGTGCGAGTGTGCAGCCAACAATAATTAATTGAATAAAATGAATTAAATAAATAATTCCGAACAAAAACAAAAACATTTGAAAGAGAGCCATAAACAAAAACGAAATCCGTGTAAAGCTCGCGCGCCAATATTGCTCCAATTTAAAATAATAAAACAAAATACCAAACGGCTTAGCAACAAATGCATTGAACAATAACCCGCACCGAACAGATCGTAAATATAGAAAGCTTTACAATCAATTCCAGCAACAATTACAAGAAAAACTAAAACAAAAACAACAACAACAAGAACAACAGCAGCAACAGCAAGAGAAACATTCAACAAATACAGCGAGGGATTAAAAGCAAGCAAAAACAGCCATAAATGTGGTGGGTGCATTATTGCTAAGCCTCAGCGTCGGGTTTTTGTACCAACAACACATAAAAGAGACACACACAGAGAGTAACAGTAACAGTAACAGTAACGGTTAATAATATGCCAGTCAGAGAGACGTACAACCATACATATATATATAGATCGCAGCTTTGCTGCAAACGTCTAAAATTGGCCAAATCCAAAACGTTTTTATGCGCAAAACGCGTTTCTTTTTTTTCCCCCTTTTTTTTTGTATGCTTAGCATTTTTTCGCCCCTTAAATTTGTTCGGTTTTTCGTTTGTTTTTACACTCGATGTGTTTTTATTTTGTTTTTGTTTTGATTTTGGTTTTTTGCGCTCAGGTTTTGGTTTTTTTTTGCATTGCACAATGCAGTACTAGGAGTATTTCCATTCGAGAGTACCCTTGTACCCCATCTCGGAGTACTTTTATGGGAGAGGAATTCTTTTTAGAGTGGCAATATATTGTAATATCATTTTTCAACTTTTTATTGAGCCACTCCATAACTCTGTAGGACATCGATTGCTAAAAAAAGTTACTGTTTGTTGTGAAAACCTGAGATAAATCAAACAACGATCAGAGTTTTTGGGGAAATTCCTTCAAAATGTTGTCCAGAATCATATATGTATATATATTGAATAATTTACCATCACAATTTCGATTTTGAAAGTGTATCTCCCACTTCGACCTTTATTTGTTCGTTTTGGTTTGTTTGTTGGACTTCTTGCAAGCCTTCGGCCATTTGGCCATAAAGTGGATTTGTCTTCAATTGTGGAAATCAGTTTAAGGCTGAGGGCGGGGCAGTCACAGTGTCCAGTAAACAGTGGACAGCGGTAGTTAAGCCAACAACGTGAATTCAGTTGCAGCTCAAAAAAAAATATGTCGGCCAAAGAGCTTCAAGGTCATGGATGAAAGTGTGGTCTGTCTGTGGCCTGTGAATCAGAGTATTGGCATGCACAGACAGTGTTTCGGTGTGTGCCTGAAATTGTTTCAAATTGTTTCCAGTTGGCAATCAAAAACCAAAAGAAAAAAGGTTTCCAATTGAAAGATTGAGAAAACGCGTCTCTTGTCTGGGGCGCGGACTCCCGATTTCAATTTTTGATGTTGATGGACAGCCGTGGATTAATTCGTTTTGGAGACCAACCGAGGAGATAACCATCGCTCTATCCCTAGGAGATTGTTGCAATTGTCTTTTGTGTTTGCTTTTGTGATGGACAAATGGGGTTTTAATGGGGTCGAAACTAACGGGGGGTTGTGTGTCTGTGTCTGTGTGTGTGTCTGTGCGTCCGAGGGTAGGGTCTTTTAATTTGGCATGCATCTGGTAGACTGGTAGTCTGTAATTTAAACGCCCTGCTTATTAGGAATCTACTGTAATAATTAACGGGTTGGCTGTAATTGAGAGCTGATTTACCGACCTACTGTCCGGCCAGCCTGCCTGGCATTCAAATTGCTTGTGAGGGGAATTAATTTTGGATTTGTCCAATCGAAAGTCCCAGTGCCCCGCTGCTGAATGCCAAGGAAAAGCCAAAAGCCTCGATAGTCTGGCCTCCAAGGGCATTGATTGGGTTTCAATAATATCAATTTGGAAAATGGATCGAGGTCTTATATGGAAAACATAAACAGAAAATGGAGAATCTTTTTTTTAGCAAAGATTTACTCGTTTCATGTCTTTATAGTTATGAAACGCATTGCGCATGCACTCCCAAAATAAACGCCAGCTCACAATTTAATAACTCTATCAATATAGAAACAATTTATTATAATGTTTTGCTATAAAACCCCTTAAAGTAATTGCAAGTTTCAATCAAATAAATACTCCCCTCATTATGCAGAGTCCTCTGTTGTCTGTGGCCTTTGGCTTAACCCTTAATCAATCAAAAAGTCATATCGATAATTTCTATAATCTGTAATCTCCTGGCCCCCGACATTCTGAGCCAGATTGCAAAAGATTCGAAGCGTTGCCAAACTCGTTCAGCAATTTTTTAAACAAAATTATTATTAAAAGCTTAATTGCAGCAGCAGAAACAGCAGCGCCAGCAGCAGTAGCTCTGGAGCCATGCGCTGAGCTTTGGCCAAAACAATTAAAGGCTGCAAAAATGTTAAACTAACAAATTATATGTTGGCCACTAAAAAACATAAACGAAACGCTTGGAAAAAACGCGCTGACAAAACGCCTCAAACTCGCGCGACCTGCCAAAAGATACAAATAGCAAACAAAATAAAAAAACAAGTTGGGGATTGCACTATTTTCGGGTTTAGTCTTGTGGTAAGATGACAAATGGCTTAAATGTTGGCATAAAGAGCAGAGGCAGTGCAATAAACTCTAAGAAATTCCATGGAAATATCAACAAAAACAGAAAACGCTCCAATTAGTGTACGTATTTTTTTATAGGAGTACCCTTGCAGTGGGTATTACTAGTTGAAAGAGAAGTTTGTCAAAGCAAAAGAATAAATACACAAACAGAAGTCATTGTGCCTCTTACTGGAATCGTTCAAGAGTCACCTGCCCCGATATTGTCAATCTTTCCTTGGTAAAATCTTCCCCTAAAGTGTATCTAAATCTTCGGCTAGCACTCTACTTAGCTTCCTTTCTGGTTTGACTTTGCTATCTGCTATTTTTTCCTTCGACTTTGGAGTGGTGTCGATAACACATAACGCATACGACGTGTGGCCTCTCCCTTCTTTTGCCTTTTTGGCTTTCGGTCTGTACGTCCCTCAACTCGACTGAGCGACTGTGTCCGTCCCCCGAGACGATTGTTAATGAATTGCAGTAGCGGTCGTCGTGCGACATTTTCTGATCTGATCTGATCTGAGGGAGGAGGTGGAATGGAAATGAAAATGGAAATGTTTGACAATTTGTCACCGCGTCCAACACTTGTCTCGTCCGATACCGATTCAGCAGCCGATGCCGTTGCCAATTGCGGGTGCGGGCCACGTTTGTGACCATTTGTTACACATTTTTATTTCGTATTATTTGTCGCCTTAATACGTGTATCTTTTGTAGTGGAAACCCCACCATGCATTGTGTGTACTTAGTGGCAATTTATTTGCCATTACCTTTTGCTCTCACTGTTCACTTCTGGTTTTAAATCAAGTTTATTAACCGGAATCTGTCAGTGGCCATTGTGCGGCTACAACTACGACTGCGAGTGTGCGGTGCTGTGCTGTCTGTGAGAGCTCTATCTGTGTTCGCATTCAGGGCGTATCCATAACTATCGATTAGCATTCTAATTTATATACTAACTGCCGCCTCGAGAGTGTGGCACAAATTTAGTAACGCCAATGGGCATGCACGATACCAATGGATTCGCATTCGCATTCGCACTGGATCTTGCCTCTACTACAATTTCAAGACCAAGCTGCGGTTGGCAGGTTGCTCTATCAAGGCTGGGAGTTGTGACTTTTGGGCCACAAGTGTAGGCATTAAGCAGATGATTTCTGTGATTTTTCTAAGAACCCCTAATGAATCCGCAATTATAATTATTTCAACTTATAATTTGTTCATTAATTACAAAACAAAAACTTGTTTCCTCCAAGCATAACTTATAGTTGGTTCGACATTTATCAGTAGAGTATTTCTCCTTCTACAACACATTTTTCTGTGTACTCTTGCTGCTGCTGTTTTTGGCCTTAACCCATGTGACGTCTACAGCTGGAGGGGCTGTACAAGTTCGCCCAGAATGATGTCTAGAACTAGAACTAAACCGATTTCAATTCCTATTCCAATTATGGGTGCAGCTGTAAGTCAGATACGTCTAGCTGGGAGCTTATGAATGTGGGAATCAAAAGTGTGTAGCTGTGGGCTCTCGTAACTCTTACTTTCAATGAATGTAATACAGACAAAAGTCTGCCAAGATGAACCAAGATGAACCCTTCAACAAAAAGAAGGAACAGCAGAAAAAGAAATGCGAAATGACGCAACAGAGAGACAAAAGATTAGAATCAGAAAACGATAAAAGAGAATAGAATAGAATAGAATAGAATATAACTCCATATATTTGTGTGTATAATAAATGCCGGCTAGTACGGATAGTCGAGTATGGGAGGTGGTTTCTTGCTGTCGAACTTTGGCTAATTAATGAGGCATTCGTTGGCAGAGAATGAAACTTTCGTTTTTAATGAGATGCCATAAAAAATATTGCCAAAATTCCTAAGTAATTAAAGCCATTGAACGATGCCCAGACAGAGAGAGAGGCTGAGAGAGGCAGGAGAGGTACGAGACCATGAGTAATTATATGGACTGTGAAGAAGGCTTGATAAGAATTAGAACTTGTTTCTGGTTTCCATAGTTTCTTTTTCTTTTTCTTTTTCTTTTTCTTTTTGTTTTGCTTTGTTTCAATATTTTATGGATTTGACTTTGGCTAGGATTTAATTACATGGTCTGTGTGCACGGAAATGCCTGAGAAATGTTAATTAAATTATGGTTTGGTAAGCGCCGAATCATCTTTATGGTGTGGCGATCAAGGCTCTTCTGTAGCTTGATTTAAAATATGATTCAATAATCACTGATGGTTGATCTATGGCTCATTTGATGGGTATCTAAACAGTCGAAATATCGTCTGGCATGGCATTCTTGTCTCTAACAAATGCCGCGATTGCAGCAACTTTATCTGCGAGTGAAACTACTCCCTGGGCTCCATCTTCAATGGCATGCCAATTGTTGGCTACAAAAAGCTAACAAAATATTTTGCCATTAATTATAAATATGTTGAAATTGCAACAGACGATGCGATGGAGCATCTGTCTGGCACTGGGACCTGGCACTGTGACTGGGGCTTGGCTCTGTTGTGGCCACAGTCAGTGGCAGAGTCGGTGGATTGCCGCTGCTGGCTCTCTCGTTGGCTGTTGCCAACCTGTTGCCAATACAAGTTCAATGATTCTTGTGGCTCTCTTGTGGTTGAGAGACTCTCGCAGCGGCACACAATTTCTGGTGTGAAATGCACCTTGACATTTGGGGCTGGATATTTCCCATTGATTAACGATTGAACGCAATGGATCTGTTTCTCTGTGTTCACTGCTCACTGCTCACTGCTCTGTGCTTTATTTGTTTATAAATTATTTATTATTTTGCAATTAAGATGTGTGTCGATGTGTGTCTGTGTGTGTGGCAATGACTTTGATATTTCATTTTTTCATTATTGTGGGAAACCTTTACTCTGCCGTACACTAATTGCCCGCTTCTTGTTCTCCTTAATTGCAGCCATTAACGAACGTAGACCATCCCGTACCATGGTCCAACATCAGCTGCCCGGGGTGGCCAAATGAATCACGTTCCTTTGAGGAAAGTGCGTCGAGTCCATTAAGCGGACACACACATCCCCAGCCAGAACCAGCGGAGACACCAGCTTCGGCACTAAAACGCTTGATTAACTCCCCGTGGAAGCGAGTGGAACAGGTGGACCGTGTCGTGGTGTATCGTAAGCCCCCCCCAGCTGTCATGGCACACTTTTGCTGGTTCCTCAGATTGGGCTTTCTGCTGCTGGTAAGTGTCACATTAAGGCGTTAATTGCCGCTCATGAGGCTGCTAAATTATGGCCAGGTGCAAGCCGCGAGCCCTAATTCCCGGGAATTGCTTTCGGCCATACACCAAACTTAAGTTCAAGGCTTCCTTCACAGATTAGCAATGTGCGATACCTAAATCAAAGCAGAAACTAGTTTAAATCGCAACCCAAAATCCCTTCTAAACAACAGCTGGCGGCAAAGGAGGTGGAAAAAGGGATGGAAATAGTTGTCGATTTTTAGTTCCGAATAGTTCAGACATTTTTCAGTAATAGTCCATAAGCTAGAGAACACATATTTGTGATCTCTTTCTACCACTTTCGTGCCAGTCAAATCTCTAAAAAATCATCAGCAAAATTCCCAGATGAACAACACAAATCATATATCAATAAAACTCCAAACAAAACCCTTTTAAGGTCGCGTTTGAGAAGAGTTTAGTGTGCTTTATGTCACGATTTCAGCATAGGAATCGCTGACTTTCCCTATCCGCAGAGAGACCTAGAGAATGCACAGCTTTATGGCCCCAACAATTCCCAGGCTTCAAATGCAGTTGCCAAATGCAACTGCAGGTCCATTAACTTGGCCAATGCGTTTTGAAAAATGGTTTAATTGTGCGATCGGTTACCATTTGTGTTGGCTTTTAGCTATAAGCTTTTTGGCTTTGCTTTGTTTCGACTTGGCTCGTTTTTATTGGTCTGAAAAATCATCCATAATACGTGGCTAGCGAAGGCATTTGGAATTAATTTTTACCACACTCGATTGTGTCTGTCTGGCCCGCACTTTATTGACTGCTCATTAGACAAAAAGACCAAGCAACAGACAGACAGACCAACGGGCCGACAAACCCCAGCGCAGACCCTCGTTGATTGTGAGTAATGTGGAGTGGAGTAGTAGGGTAAACGGAGGCTCGAATAAACTAAATAATTGCACGCGATTTGACTGCAGTTGCAAGTTATATGTGCAACAGAGTCTCGGCTCTGTCTCTGAGTCTCTCTTCCAACTGTAGGGGTCTGGGCGATGACGATGACGACGACGACGAGAGCGGCTGTGGCTGTGGCTACAATTTGCAAATTATTTGCAGCCGGGTGTATGCTGGGACAGCGGGGTGTGGTGCAGCTCCTAGTGGTGCAACAACATTCTAAACTGAACATTTCTTTCAAACATTAACCCACTGAGCAACGAGCAGGGCGCATCTGAGCTGCTTCAAGGTTCTGTGCCCAACATGGGTTAATTTCCCACACAGATTTGTTTCTGTTTTGGTTTTTCTGTGTGTCTCTTTGTCATGTAATTAATAAATGTGTGGCACTGGTACTTGTGCCTCAAATCTGCAGTGGATTTTGCTAGCAATTTAGCGCCGATTCTGCCTTTACCTCGAGCGCCGTCTGAGGCTCTCTGTCTGTGGCATTGAGTTTCGAGCACTGCCCTAATGTGGGCTGCACTTGGCTGAAGGATCGATAGCCAGATAGGCACAGGTAACGGCACGGGCAGCGCCACACTCGCAAAAATATTAGAGAACCCAAAAAAAAGAGCATAACCGAAATAAATGCCAGTAAATAAGGAATGTTTTTCCTGGAAATTGAAACTGATCGAACTCTTTTTGCGAGTGTATTGTAGCTGTTTTTAAGGTTGCAACATGGCCACCATGCACTCGCCCAGCACAGCTGACGACAGCGGGTGGTGGCGCTGAGCCAGTGAGTGGCCGCTACCCAAAAGATTAAACCCCAAACTGGAGCTGAAGCTGTAGCTGAAGCTGAAGCCATTTAGGACCCGCTGACACATTCACTTGGCCACTGGCTTTTGTCTGCTGCTGTGGCTGGCTGGCTGGCTGGCTGGCTGGCTGCTCCTTTCAACGCCCACCGTTAGCACAAAGCGCCGCTGGGGCAGACACTCCACTCGAAATATATGCAAAAATTAAAGGGGGTGCGGGGGGTTGGCATATTACATGACTTTTTCCGCATTCGATAGCTTCTCGCTGTGTGGCCTGAGTCACAGTATTAATCCTGTTTGCCTAAGATCAATCATTTGTATATGAAATTTAATGGGAAAATGCTACTAAAAGTACTTCCGAAATTAACATAAAAAACAAACTGAATCGAAAACTGTCAACCCGTGTCGCTCCCTCTGTGAATTGCGTTTGCAATTGTGTTATATGAAGCGTAAAAACTGAAATCACGATGATTGTGGCTAATTAAATTGGAGGTATCAAGTGGCAGCATCAGCACCAACCGCGGCACTTGAAAGCCAATGGCCAGAGCACAGCTCGGCACATGCTGCTGCCAATCTTAAATAAAAAGAGTGCTCATTAAGGCGTGATTATTGCTTAATTGTTAGGCAAACAATCGGAATCGATCGAAGGCGGATATCTCATTGATTCGGAGCGCCTGTTCTGTTCTGTTCTGTTCAATTCTGTTCTGGATTGAAAGTATCTTTTCTGACACTTCCGCTAAGTTGACAGCCGTGAAAATTGTCAACGCTGTTGTGAGTGGTGCAACAATCGAATGATAAATCGACAGAAATCGCCAGTTTAAAGTGCAAAAGAATGTCCAACAGGATTAGGCCAGAGCCACAGGTAATCAGGCAGCCCCCCGACTGATAAATCAATCAAGATTAATAATTGCCTATCATGGGATCTCTCGCTCTCTCTCTCTCATTTCATTCACTAAACTGGAGCACGTCACTGACCAGTCGGTTCAAGTAACTCCCCAGAGACAATAGAAAGGAATTCGCTTTGTCCAGCTTCTCGTTTTTTTCCTCAATCGTTTGGGAGTTGTATTTTTAGAACGTTTATCTTTTGCGTTTCTTTTGTTTTAGGGCGTTACGCGGTTAAGCAAAACCCAGATATAGATATGCGTACAAAAGGGCTTTTGCTTTTGTGATTGCAAACTGAACTGAATTGAGCGACTTTTGGTGTCAATGCTAAACGCGCTCACCGCCCGCGGTCGAGTACTTCTGCAATTTTAGACATAAAAGGCAAGGCAAGGCACCCGCTGCTGCTGGTGACTGGTGACTAACCCCCACAGTGGCAACTGGTCAGATACTTACCTCTCTGACTGTGTAATTTTAGCACATGTGCGAAGGTGTTTGGTGGAGCGACTGCCAGCTCTGATATGATCTAGAAAATGCCTGGCGACAGGCGCCCACTTTTGCTCAAATCTTTCTGTACAGTCTCTGCCTGCCACTGCCGGATGTGGTTATTGTTCTTGTGCCTGAAGTATAAACATTATACTATTATCTTGTGTTTGTATATAGAAACGTTTATTGAATAATTATGCTATTTTTTTGAGCTGCTTGCAGCACTCCATTTCCATTAATATTTGATTCAATTTTTGCATTGTTTTCAATTTGGCGCGCCAGTCGGTTTCCCATTCGAAATCAATATTTCTTATGGAGCTGTAAATGATTTGTCTGTCTGCAATTAGCATTGCTAATGCAAGATGGATGTAAATAACGATAAATATGTTTTATGTGCCTGTCCGAAGCGATCCAATCCGATCCGATCCGATCTGATTCGATTTCCTTTGGCAGGGCTGGCAAGTTCGTGCCCTAAGTCTTTTGTGTTGGGAAGTGTGAATGGGTGGGTGGGTGTGCTGCTGGCTAGCTGATAACAATTTATGGCCAATCTCTGGCCATGAAATATACGACATTATTGCTGCATTTGCTCAGACGGGAGAGACTGTCGAACTGTAAAGGAAAAGGTGTATATTTTAGCACTCTTAAGTGATTTATCAATGTTCGGATAAGTTTTATGAGTGTTTACTTTCGCTTTCTGAGTTTCTCTGACTAAATTTGTGTGGATTCCTGAGCAAATATTACTCATGCCAAGCAGGATTCCTATGGTACAGAATGTAACCTGATTCCTACCCAAAGTTGGGTCTTTCCAAGCCCTAATGATATATGACCAGCAGCAAGATGAGTCAGTGAAATGCAAGCGGCCCCCGAAGCACTGGAATGCCTTTCTGACTGCACAAATGACATATTGATCAGGCCTCGAGCAGCAGCACTGTAATGTTGCTCCATTTTCCACTTAACCGATTTCCACTAACCGAGCGAAATGCGCTATGCAAAGTGTGTTTGCTGCAATCCCCACATACTTACTCGTATTGTAAGCGTTTGTTTTGCGCTACCTTGCGCCACCCACTTGCAACGCAGCGGCAGCGATGGCGTCGGTTAATTATGCCACCACTTGACTAGGAAGAAACATGCACCACTTCAAACGGAGCACCGCTCCGCTGCACCACATCCACAGAGCAAATCAGAGCAGAGTCCAGCAGCAGCAGCAGCAGCAGCAGCATTCCGCTGATGTCTTAATAGACCTCTCGGCACATTATTATTCAAATGTGCGATGTCCAGGGCAATGCATGACTTGTGCATATCTCTTCATCGTAGCATACATACATATGTAGATATATAGATCTCGATCTCCGATTCGAATGATATTTTAATTACGCAAATTTATAAATAGATTGCTGAGATAAGCAGCCAATGCGATCAGACACACCGATCGGATGGTATCGATCGGAATCAATCTGATTTGCATAAAGAATCAATTAAGGCATATGTCGAGCATAACTAATACTCTGCCCCTTCCATTACAGATGCTGTCCGGTGGCTGTCGGACACGTCCCACGGGGCGGCAGAGTGAGCTCATCGCCGGCAATGAGTTCCTCAAGCTGTTCCTCGACCACGACGAGCAGCAGCGTAGCCTGCACAGCAGCGAACAGGAGTTCGAGGGTCGGGCGGAGCCCCATCGCCAGCGTACAGCTAATGGCAGGAGCCTGGAGCACAGGACACGCTTCAGGAACACGCTGCCCAACAGCAAGGATCACGAGGGCAGGCAGGAGAGAGGCGAGGTCGTGAAGCTGGTCACCTCCGGCAGCAAGATCGTCTTCCTCGAGGATGAGCCCCGTCCGCGATCCAGCAGCAAGTCCAAGTCCAGTGATGAGGTCAAGGTCGTGGCCGTCAGCGTGAGCTCCTCCAGCAAACGTGGTCCCAGTCCTCGCACCAGTCCACGTTCCAGCACGAGTTCCTCCAGCTCCTCGACTGCCACTGGCAGCGACTTTGTGAATCGTTCGCACAAGAGCGAGCTCTCCATTGAGGAGACGGAGCCACGACTGGCGGCCGACGCCATGGAGGGGGACAGCGACTCGCTGAACAGCGCCTCCAACATACAGAGCGTCTTGGCGGCACCAGCAGCGGCGGCACACGCCGCCTCCTCGTTCCCGCGTGGCAGCAGCAACCAAAGCGAGGTAGCCGTCACCCATGAGGCAGTCGAGGGCGAGGACAAGTTGCTGCCGTTCCAGACGGTGATCTATCACGACTCCAAGCAGGGTCGCGGGCCGCAGTCAAGATCAATATCGTACAGCTCCATATCGCAGAATGTGGACGATCTGCAGGTCTGGCAGCAGTCCACACGCGGCGGCATCCTAGCCGAGGCGCAGCGGAATGTGAGCGAGAGCCTGAAACCCATACCTAGGCCAGCACACGGCCATTCTTCGTCCTCGGAGCCGGCCAAGTTCTACTCCGTGCCCTCGAAGATGTACAGTGTGCCGAGCAAGTTCTATTCGGAGCCATCTAAGGTGTACTCCGAACCCGCCAAGATGTATGGACAGCCGGAGAAAGTTTACTCGGAGCCGTCAAAGGTGTATGGACAGCCCTCGAAATTCTACTCGCAGCCGGCAAAGGTGTATGGGGAGCCGGCCAAGGTGTACGGAGAGCCAGCCAAGACCTACTGGCCCCAAACGGTGACCACCACCACTCCCGCCACGACTGGGCCCTCGTCCCCATTGGATACCAGTTCCAGTCCGATGAAGGCGCCTGGAACTAGTACAACTCCCATGCCCATAACTGTGCCGCCGGGGGCTGCCCCCAGCACCTTTGTGCCCTCACGTTCCCGGCCGCGACCAGCAATTGTCTCTCGCATCGCTTTTGGCGAGGCTCAGAGCACAAGCACCACAACGGCAGCACCGCCAGCCACCACATCTGCCCCTTTGGGCACCACCGCCAAGCAGCCAGAGTCCAGCACGCCTGCCACCGTCAGACCAACCACTTGGCAACACCATTATCACAGTTACAACCATCAGCAGCATCATCATCCTACTGACTCGCCGCCGCGTCGAGTACTCTTCAATTTGGATAAATTGCCTTATGATTTATTGAATGCACCACAGCCGCCGCAGTCGCCCCACCATCATCCATTGGATCCCAGTCCGAGCCACTTACAACAGCAACAGCAGCGTCCATGTTGGGAGCAACAGCAACGTCAGCATTCATCACTGCCGCATCAACATTCTAATCAAAATGCCAAAGGATTGCCCAATAGAGGTGAGTCTTAGTCGGAGTTTCAGTTTGAGTTTGAGTAGTAAGTCGAAATTACACTGTTTAACAAAGTTCGTAATGCATTTGCATAAATTAAATGGAGTGGCACGTTTTAATGCTTCATAATAAGTAGGGAGAGAATTTCTGTTTCATTCATAAACTTGGCTTAGAAAGAGGAAAGTACATGGGCTATTTCTAACGTAGATCGGTTAGTTAAAAAAAAGTTACCATAATTGACACTTGAGGTTAATTTGATGTTAAGAAGGCTTGATCGAACTATCCCCAGAGAGCAGAGTGTAGAACAAAGAGGAGACCACGAGAACAAGAGCGCAGAAGCGTCAGCAGATGACGGTGAGAGAGCTTTGTTCTCATAATTTCGTCACATTTGTGAGTAGTTTTTGCACGCGTTTGAACGTTTCTAAAAAAATTACAAAACCAATATATTTAGAACAGATTTACATAATAAACAAGCACTAAAACGTAGCCTTCCCACACACATACATATGTACGAGTATATGCCACAATTAGAACTTTGTTAATCAGTGAACATTTTGAATTGCAACGACAACACATGGGCTTATACGTATACGTTTACCCTTCTCCCCCCTGCGCATTCTCTTGTAGCTAAGCTTGAACTTATCAGACATCATCTTTTGCTGCTCCTCCCACAACATGAACCTAATTTTAACTGTATCTCTCTCTCTTTGTCTCTCTCCCTACCGCAGATCTAGTCAAATGTAGTTCCAAATTTGCACACCAACATGGAACATCATCATCATCACCAACAGCAGGGGCATCATCATCATCATTGGGTGGTTCATCAGGGGCGGCTGGCTATTCGTACAGCTCCAGCTCGACAAGCTCCTCTTCATCGTCGTCATCGTCCTCCTCTTTGGGCCGACCCCGCGACTCCATCAGCCATCAGCCGCTACATCACCACTTCACCACCGAACGCCCCGAGCAGTACACCCCGACCTCAGAGCAGAATTTCGAAATTGAAGAGTCCGTAAGTGTTATGACAAACGGACGAGCCCACGGACCGCAGGGCCAGGGCGGCCAGGGCGGTGGGGCAGCACAGACTCTGTCTCTGGCCACAGTCACATCTGCAGCCACAGCCACAGCCACACCAGCTGCGGCCACAACCACAGCCACAGCCACAGTGGCAACCACGGCAACCAGCGGTCGCGGCCGAGGCATAGACAGGGGACGTGGCTCGGTGGTGTACAACGCCGACGCAAATGCCAACCACGATTACAACGCTGGCCAAGACAACGAAGACGACGACGGCGGCGAGAGGGAGGTGGAATCTGCTGAAGATGGTGCAGATGGTGAGCGCGGCCGAGAGGGTGGGCCGGGCAACGAGGAGGAGGACAAAGTCGCCTATGTGGTGGAGGGACGCAACTATCGCAAGTATCGGGTGGAGGAGAAGACCGACGATGGCTTCATTGTCGGCGAGTATGGAGTGGTGGACCACAACGATGGCAACCTGTGGGGCGTGCGCTATACCGCCGATTCGACCATTAACCGCAGCCTGATCCAGAAGGCCCTGCTGGCATTTCTCAAGCTCAAGTGAGAATGAGAGAGAGAGAGAGAGACAGTCCTACTCTTGCCGATTCCACAACAGCTGCTAAGGCAGGCATTCCACATGTGATCCAAGTCGTATTGTAGTTAGCGTAGATTAGCCTAAATAGATATACTAGATAGATAGTTAGTTAGTTGTACTCGTAGTAGATGTGTGTCTGGCCATTAGCCAGACGATGTCGATGCGATTCCCACGAGATCAGCAACACACTCGCACTCACAATCCTCTAACTCCCTCCACTCCATTCCCACTGAGTGTGTGTTTCGTGTGTGTGTGTGTGTGTGTGTGTGTGGCTTAGTCAGTAAACGAATTTGTTTAATGTGTAGTTAATGTTTTAATTAATTTATTGTAGTTGTTGGTATTGTAATTGTAAACGTAACACCTAATTTATTCAGTTGATCAGCCACGAAATTACACAGACCTAGCAACTTGCCATACAACGCGTACGAGTTACACCTGCGAGCGTAGACGCCGAATGCCGCACCTAGAACTAGAAGAGCCGCCTAAGCGCCATTCGAAACTATCCTAATTAGACACTAAGTGACTCTACCCTCCTTCCCCCTCCCCCCTTGAATAGTGAAATAAAACCTAAAATTACACAGAGAGAATTATTGAGAATGGTTTTGGGCATTAATCTCGCTGCGGGTGGGTAGGCGGAAAGCAAAAATCGGAGCAGGATCTTGGCTCTTCGCTCTCTGTAATGTAAATGCCACTTAAAATTGATTAAAAACATGCTGCCAGCGGGCAGTAGGGCTACGGCATGCAGCTTCCTGGGACAATATCATTAAAACTTAATTGATATGAACAAGTGACAAAGCAGCATCAGTAAACAGAGGGGCCGAGGAGGCAAGGAAACGACGCAGAAGGTACCCAGGAATTGAAGGCACTGTCTCCATCAGAGACCAGCATATTAAGTGTTGCTTCGGTAACTAGATTCGAATATAAGGCCATAATCTACAGCTACAGATTGGCTCTGCATAAATCAAGTTTGGTTTAATCCGCATGTCCCTTCCCTTGCTGATCCGATACCCTGGCTTAGGAAACCTGCAACGAAATCGCTGGCAGCTTTATGGGTTTATGTCAAGTGAAACGCGGAAGCCGATAACTGGAAACGAGGCATCAGGGCATTCAGACATTCAGGCAAAAGGCAAAACGGCATCCGCAATCGGGATGCGCCCTCGACCGACCGACCGACCAATCGAGCGAGCAGCTTGACAAAGTCAAGGCGGCCATTGTGAGAGTTTTATAGACACATTTGGCCAATTAAGAGCAGCAATGTCATTCCATAAATGAACCCAACAGCTGTCAGTAGTTTACTGATCTGCCCCAAACTCCCTCCTCCATTCGCGGCATAAAAGCAACTGTGAAGCTGTAAGCGAGCCCATAAATGCGAAATGAGAAAATCAACTGGACCGAGAGGGAGAGAGGGAGAGAGAGAGAGAGAGAGAGAGAGAGACTGAAAGACCTTCGAAGGTCGCTGAACGACCTTGCTTGCGGTCGCCGTTGCCGGTGCCTCTTCGATCCGTCTTTGGCGTCTGCGTGTCGTCATTTGGATGGGATTTTATTGCTCCACGGAGATTGGATTGGCCCCCGAGCCTGCAAAAATTCCACTAATGATTGCATGCNNNNGTCCTGTCTCCATTTCAGGCTTCATCTCCCTCTCGGACTCTGTGGCTATTTATAAATATGTAAGACAATCGGGGGACAGACAGCCAGGTGAGTGTAGAAGTTCAAGCTTTGCTTTGGTATGCTGTCTTATCGCAAACCGGCAATCAGCCCCCAGCCCCAGCCCCAGCCCTCGACTCCTACTCCGATTCTGATTTTTACGGGGACTTGGCAGCATCGTCGACGCGATCTGCGTGAAGAAATACAACACATGACCATAAAACAATCAAGGAGTGCTCAGTGCAGTAACTGAAGTTTAGATACACTTGCAGATAGCTATGGGAAATGGTACTCCAATTGTGCATTAGACAAACTTTGAAATATCTTTGGGAGAGGCAAAGGTTAAGCCAAGAATCTTCCATCGTATGCTGTAGATGCAGAACGTTTTCTAGAGAATGTAAGAACTCTTTCTCTTCATTTTCTGCATCTCAAACGTCTGCACAAAGTCCATAACACCCTCGCTGCTAGAGTATAAAAAGAGAATGTTCCTGGTTCTGGGTCTGGTCTCAGATTTAATGCGAAA